CCAAACACACACACACCCATACACACGCATGCACACATGCACACACACAAGTAGCATGACTGAATATAAAGTAGTTAAATCCTATATGTTAATGTTATTAATTTACTAATTGTAAAACTATAGAGTGCTTGGATTGTGGAACAGCTATTAAAAATGTTCACTACCTGCCAGAGTTTATATCTATTTTCCTAGTTATTCTTTTATACAAAACTGAAAGTTGGGGATTATTATCCTGACTTTAGAGAAATTAAGCTATGAGCAGGAGAGCTTAACTGTTTTTGTTAGTTTCTGCTGTTAATGGCAATTTCAGGTTAGAACTCAGTTTTTTCCTGCACTAATCCATGTTACACAGAAATATTGTTGTTTTAATAGATGACCTCAAAATTTCTGCCTTTTATGATATTGCAGAACTGCATGTGATAATATAAGCCAAAATTTGCCTAACTTATAATTGTAAAATCAGATGTTTCTTAGGTTTAATGTGACCCAGTTATGAAGGTAATACCCAGGGTCCCCATAGAAGGCCACATTAAAATAGCATTTATAATACTGCATTGTGGTCATCAGATCATTAAGCTAATTTTGCCAAGTTGAGAAAACTTCACATTAATTTCATTGATTTTTATTCTATGTTATTGAAAAATATGAAATAAATTATATTGCTTGTTTAATCTCAAAAAGTTTTTATTCTCTGTTAATATAAGATTGCCATTTAAATAAACCGTAATGATTGCTACTATTTCCTTAAAGATCAAGCACTAATGTATGATACTTAAACAATTTCTCAAGTAGGATTCTTAAGCAGTGCTCCATTAATTCTGTGGGCTTGCATACATAATTTTGTGTATATGAAATTTATGGAGTATTTACTATGTGGTAAGCGTTGTTAAAATGCTGTTAACATATTGCAATCTTAAGCTTAATTTTAAAGTAACAAAGGGAGTTTGAGATTTGCAAATGATAACCACTATATATAAAAATAGATAAAAAACTTCTTCTGAATAGCACAGGGAACATAACAACTTTTAATGGAAGAGAATATGAAAACAAATATATGTATATATTTGCATGACTGGGACATTATGCTGTATGCCAGAAATTGATACATTGTAACTGACTATATTTCAATAAAAAACCAAACCAAAACAAAACAAAAAGAATACATCTGAATCTCTTATGTATCCTTGCCTATAAATACATTGTGTTCAGTGTTAAACTGTACACGTGATAGGATTTCAACAGTGGAACTTACGTGCTTTGTTCAATATTTGGACTTCCGAGAAAGTCCCAAATTACTAAAAACTTATGAAACCTGGCTTCAACACAAAATCTAAAGTTAATTTTTGTAGAGGGTGGGGATGAAGGGAGGGGTAATTTTCCAGCCAGCAAGCAGCCATGATTGCCATCTTCTGGTTTGATTCTATTATTGGCTGAATATAGATTGATGTACTTGTCTCCACTGTACCAATGTATAATGCATGAACACGATTACTGGGGTAATTTAGAAACAGGATGCCTTTAATCTTTTGCTCAGATCAATCAATTACAATACATAGGTTATAAAATGTCCTATGCTCTTACACTGAATCCTTAATAGAACTAATCTTAGAGCTAAATGAGGTTGGAAAAAATGTGAAGCCCACAATGATTGCTCATATGAACACAGACAATGGAAATTTAACCGTCATGTGTTTAATTACCCAGAACAAGTGAACAGAGACCACACTGAAGGTTGAAGAGAAAGAATAATTTGGGGAGCAGAAAGTCACTTTTCCTCCTGAAGAAGCCACTTTTTCACCCTTACGGTGGAATTCAAGGTGCAGTTCAAGGGTTGTTGGCCTCAATAACTTGTGAAAGATCATATCAGATACGCAACTAGAGACATTATCCACTGTTACCTTCTGCATGCCAATACATCTTGTCATATGACAGATAAATGTGTTTCAAACTTCATTTGGAAATGCCCATTTCCCTTTAAAGCAATATTCATTCACTGAATTTACATGTGATTTGAAAAAAATTGCCATAAGATCTTTCTGAAACTTCCTGTTGTGTTTTTAAACCTTTATAGTGCACATGAAACCTTAATTACAATGCATGCAATGTGTGGTTTGTTCATTTTTTTCTGGAGTCCCTGATGCATTTTGGAAGGAATGCATTTGAACTTGGCTTTAGCCAAGAAGCTAAGTAGAAAAGGAAGGTATTTTAGAAATTGGATGTGAATAACGCTCTTTGTTTCTGTGGGAATCCAGTGAAGACAAGTAGGGTATATGAATATATCAGACACTTGCCTGAGTTTGCAGTTCTATTGTCTGAGCTGGATATAGTCAGAGTGCAGTTGCCAACGGCAGAGTCAGAACCATGGATAGCTCCACACTTTTAGTACCTGGGAGAGGAACTCTTCTTTTCACAAGTCCAGCCAGCTGCAGCTAGTGAACAGGAAGAGCTACATAAACTGCAAAGTGTGAGAAAATAAAGTCATACATCGGAGGAGCGTGCCTATTTATACTCTGAAAGAGGGAACTTTACGGATTCAGGAAAGCTCAAGCTATCCTAAGAGCCTAAGGGTTGTCATAGATTTCTTCTTCTTAAGTAAAGCTAATTAACCGGAAAATTCAACATTCCCAGGCAATGTCTTACTTTTCTGATTTATTTTCATTACTCTGACATGAAAGATTAAGAGCTGCTTAGGTTCTTGGTTTTTTTTCCCCTTGGTCTGTGTTTTCTGGAACATAAAATAAAAGTTATGGTTATTTCCTCATTGTTCATTGCCATTCACATGATTCCCTTTCCTAATTTAACCCTCCTTAACCCTTTGAAGTTCCATCTTCATTTTTTTTTCACTTCAGATTTTGAGATTGTAATTGAGAAAATATGAATTCGAGTGACTTAAGGCACAGACAAAGCAAGCTAATGGGCTGCAAGAACTCCCAAAACTCTGTCATGCAACTACAGGTTTTGATAGGAGTGCTAGACCCTTATTGCCAGCTAGAAACAAGAGGTTTGTCCATGTTCGAGTTCTGTAGGTTGTAGTGGTGGCAAATTCAATTCAGAGAAAGAGGCATGGAGAGGGCTTACTATTAGGCTAAAGGAGGAGATAACATAGATGAAGAGAAAAGAAGCAAGAAAAACAACTTAGCAAACACCTTCCTCTGGCATGGCTTGTCACATATGATTTCCTAAGTCTCCAGGAGGACTATTTGGACAGAAATGTGTGTATACCATGAGATTCCCGTAATGGCAGGCTCCGAGAAGTTAGAACAGAGAGGACTCTGTTCTCCCCCTTGAACCTTTTCATATCCTATACGAGGTGATTTCTTAGAAATTGTGAAAAACAGCAGAATGGTGTGCCTAGTGTGTTTAGAAGATGAGTGGCAGGGGAGGTCACACCAAGGCTGGTAACTCTTGGCTCCACCCACCTTTTGTTCCTTCCCCTACGCGCCCAGCCTCGCCCATTTCAAACTCTTTCCTGTTTTGTACCAGTTGCTCTCACAGTCTTTGGCCTTCTCATCTTTCTCGCAACCTCCAGGACTCAATCACCCCCAACCTTGCAACTCCTCAGGGGTTCAAGCAGTGAAACTGGGCATGCTCAGCGGCGGCGCCAGCAGCCTCCAGTCTTTGGGAGGCGCGGCTCAGCGCGGGACTGGGACAGGAGTGCCAATTCAGCTCGGGCTTCAGCGCGCACCTCCGCCGAGCCCAGGGATCCGTCATCTTCATTCTTCAACCTCCTGAACGCCACCAGAGCTTAGAAACAGTCTTCACTGAGGGGCTGTTTTCCCACCTGTCTTTTCTCTGCAGCTAAGGGTGTTTTAGCTACTGCGGCGTGAGGAGCTCAGGAATGGGGCCCTGTGGCTGGTGGCCGTGGAGATCACCTTCCCAGAGTAGCTGTTTGTCACTGAGTTTTGGAGATTTCTTGGCTGGCTTCCGCTAAAACACGCTTGAGTAATCCGAGCTGTGGCGGCGCCCAAGCTCCCGGGATAAAGGGAGCGTGTGTGTGTGTGTGTGTGTGTGTGTGTGTGTGTG